AAACATATAAATAATGAATTAAATGAATGAATTACTCTATTTTCTGAGGGATTAAGCGCATCAATTTTCATTGACATGGTCGTGGACGCCGCTCGGCTATGGGGGGGGGCATTTTGCACTTTTGCAGCTTCACTATTTCTGGTTATCAAGTCTCACTCAGGTGAACCTCTGAACTTTAGTGTAGCTGGAGCAAACTCGCCAGCCTCCATGATAAAACCTCTCGTAAGGCTCTCTCTCGATGGCTGGACACGTGCAAAATGCCCCCCCCCGTCGCTGGACTGCGCCCCGAAGAGTTCCTAAACACAGCACCAGCTTTTCTCATTTTCTTCTTCTGGCCTTCCAAGGTTCTCAAACCGTCCTTGCTCGACAACCATTCAAAACAAAACAGGAAACATATGTCTTCCCTTAGAACCGGAGAAAACACTCACTCTTCTTGCGATATTCCCAGCAAAGATTGACCGTTGACCGACAGTAATTGATCACCAGTTGCCAGCCGACCGTCCTTCAATGTTAACCCTTATCAGTATCATGATCACTTGAAAATTAAGTAATGATATAGAGATATCAAATCGAACAATTCATTAAACCTATCAAGAAAATAAAAAGGGAAATCACTAAAAAGTCCATCCTGCACAGATGGTGTAGGCGGAGCCATAAGGCCTTCTCTACTGGTGCGCTTCTGCTCCTTGACATCTCAGAGTAGGGTTTCAACGAGAAAGGTGCACTTACTCAAGGACTCCTCCCTTACGATCAACGCGGAATGGGCCTTCATAAACGTAGTCGAGAAAAATAAGGGGAAGCTGAGAGAAATGGTTTTCAGCTGAGTGAACTCTCATTGAACATACACCACCAGAAACTTCAAAATCTAATAATTTCAGACAAAAGCCGCTTAGCAGTTATGCATAACCTAAAGAGTTTACTAAATACGTACTATGACAACGAGTAATCAGGTGCATTCCGCGATATCTGGATGGGTGGAGACAAGGAACAAGTGTGCCTTCCTCAGTGGCGCGCTCTCGTTAAATAGCAAAAGAAGGATAAGGATGCGGGCAATATTCGCGGAAAGTGTCATTAATTCAAAGAATTGTTCCCAGCCCTGTGGAGTACTGGCTCATCCGAGAAGCTTTCTGATGTAGCCAATTGACTATTATTAGAATTACCTTTGAAATTAATGATTTCAAAATTAGTGGTCCAAAAATATGAGACAAAAACTCTCGAAAGAAAATGCAAATATTCGAACTATAGAACTAGTATGCATACAAAACCGAAAAGAAGTGGAAACGTACCGCTGCTGCTGGGCTTCCCGCAACAACCTTCTTCACATAGATGCCCACTTGTCTGTCACCAACACCCTGAAACAATTCATTTAACTAATACTCGCTGGTTCGTCGTAAGTACGTGATGTAGTTAATTACTTGTTAAGTGATAAATGACGTGACATTGACGTCACTTTACATGTTCATGACGTTTCTTGGGACGTCATCAGCTAGAATACAGTACAGCTTTTTTGACACTGACACGTTATACGCATCATCCTTTCACTTTTAAAAGCTAACGGACCCTTGTTAAACCCGAAACCCTAAAAATTCCTACTCCATCTCAAATAATTTTTTGGATTCTGAAACACTGATTATCAGTTCCATTCATTGCCACCACACAATCTGAACAGGACTCCGACCCCCTTCATCCATAAAATCCTAGCCGTGCACGTCTATGGTACTTACGACGACATGATTACCACCAAATACAATTGCAACGGTCACATTAACCCTTATTTGAACACGATGTTCTCAGACCTATTTCGTTGCATTAACGAGTTCGCGAGTAGTAATAAACTTTTTCTTCGCCTATAGAGGAAATATAGCCCCCTCAATTCGTCACCGTAACCTACAAACATGAAATCCAATCGGACATATAAACTTTGAATAGCTCGAAAAAAGTATTTAACCCATAGCATCATACCCTCAGATTTTCTCTGGATTTTCTCTGGCTGATAGGGAATCCAAATAACGACAATTACATTTATGAGCTATCACCACCACTTGCTCTCAATTATTTAAAAAGGTTCAGAGTCTTATAAAGCCAAATTATACAACGGATTATGACACATTTTCAACAGTTGCTGCGGATCCTAGTAATCCCTAAGTGACCTGAGGATCCGTTCACTCCTTTGGAGTCGAGCAGCAAGAGTCATAGGTGGTAACGATGATTGAACCATTCTTCTATTAGATGAGGGCTGGCTTCCAGAAAATCCACGTAAAAGTCAAGTTCAGTACGACTTTCCATGAGCTCGACGATTTCCAGTAGGAATCGTAGGGTCATTCCAGAGGAACTCATTAGCACGCACCACAGGTTCATTCTTTCACAACTCAACTCTTATAGAAACAAAATATCGCAGTTTTTTTTTCAAATCGAACTCAAAAATCAGAATACCGAGAAAATGGGACCCATACAGAAGCATGCCAACATTTCGAGTGTACACTCTCTTTGGTGGTAACAACGCGTGTGATGCATTTTTTGTGGGATAGTTCCATTTGGGACGACTGTCATCCTGCCCTTGTGCTCCACAAAGACACGATGGCAACTGTCCCAAAACAAACTTATCCCACTAGAAGTTCAGCTGCGGTCACATTCAACCGAGGTGCGCAGTCACGCCCCCTCAATCTTAGGAGATGGAGTGTAGAACGCGCGCCGCATCCCAAAAAAGACTAGCCAATGGCAAAATCTTTATCCCTTTTTTCAACGACTCAGTACACACATAGGTCACTTCATGAACCTGAACGAAAGCCGACTATATTCCATTTAGATTCTGCTCAAACTCTACTGGAATGTTTAATCATTCTAATTAAGGACTGAAAATAAGTGGGGAAAGAGAGGAAAGTGAGAGGTTTTATTGTCCCCACTATTACGGCGCCCACCCTTGACTGTCCTGAATGTAGCACTCACATTTCCCTGTTATCACTGAGGGCAAAAAGCGGGATTTTCTGATAAGAATATTAGCCCGAGCGGACACCGCAGATTTACTTGCCATCTGATAAAGCAAATAAAAACCCATAGGAGGAAAAGAGTTAGTTTTTCACTCACCTTACAAGCGCAGATCCACACCATCGCTGCTAGACAAGCGAAAGCCAAAACAAGGCAGACTGTCGTCAAAGAAAACCTGCACTCTACGTGATTGCGGCTTATTAACGTCTTATCCTCGATTAATGCGTGTTGAGTCGCCTGTAGAGCGAACGCCAACCACCTGGACGAAGACAATCCTCAAAGAGTTGATCTGGCGCTGGTTGTGGCCATGTAGATGACCGCGCTACGACAACGATGTGATCCTTATCTATCGACGACGACACCACGGCGACAACTACTACTACAGAGGCTGGCTCGACGAAAAATGTCGTCGATTTAGATGTTATGATTGGGACGGCCTTGCTGAACGCTGTCCAGCACTCTCTTCACTGTAAACGTGAACGCCAAAGGAAGCAGAAACCTGTTCAGCCGGCAATTGGCTACTAACTATCTTTGAATCTTACAAAACAGCGAATCCAACAATGCAAAAGCCAAAGAATGGCCATGTCCTCAAAGGAAATGAGGAGCTATTCTTACAGTCATATAAGAGCTAAGCAGAGCCAATTGCCCTGAAATCTCATTCCTACAGTATTTTCAAGGGAACCAGAGTTACAGCATCCAACATTTCTTTCTTCCAAACCACTTCCATGATTGTTTTTGCGACTAACTGCAATAACTCCTGGTTCCAGCCCACTTAGAAAATCACTATTTCTCCTCTACCTGCGCCTTTATCCCCATATTTCCATAAAACTATCTCGAAGATACAGTAGACATTTTTTTTAGATTTCAAGAAGAAGAACTTCAAGACACATTCAGATATTACCTGAGAGACAGAAGCCTTATCTCGTATAAGTTGGATAGATCTGGAGCTACGTACGGCGTACCACTTTCGCCATTAAAAAGTATGAATGACAAGAAAGGGTTGTTTGATGGTACCCTTTCTCAAAAGTCCTGCCCTAGGGGGAAACTTCTGCAAAATAGTATCCCCATTGGTTTAAAATTGCTCTTCTGGCACGACTCCCTTCCCCATCTTACTTTTGTCCTTAAAAATTTCCTCAATTTTCTACCACTTATCCGGATCTCCTAAAAACCGTCGCTCTTTCAAGCCGGTAAGAGGGGGGAGGTACTGATTAAGCGCACGTGGAACTGTAAAGACCGAGAAAAGTCAGCAACCAAAAGCATTTCTCCTAAAATGAGAACGATCCCCACCCCCCCCCCCTTCTGTCTCCCAAAACAAATACGTCCCCCTTGCTGAGCGTGAAGAGGTGGACCCTAACGTACGACTTGCCCTGCTCTTCCTGTGCGTTTGCTTTCGCGCCATCATTTGTGCAGCCGTGCGCTCTCTCACTCTCTAACCTCTCGCTCACGCGTATGTTATTTCACCACTTCTCGCTGCATGCCCGTCCAATGCTCAAACTGAAGTGCAAGAATGAGGGCTTCATCTAAGAGACAACAACGTCTCCAACAGGTGCTTCCCCATTTTTTTCATTGGATCATTCACAACTTCATAGTACTAAAGCTAGCGAAAAACATATCGTTTGAAGATTCAAACTGCACAATAAAAGACCTAATCAAGTAAGCAGTTCAAATGTAATGTTGTGAATTTCCTAACCTGAGCAGCCACAATACTGAGACCAATTCCACCTGTACCTCGTTTCAACACCACTCGTGTCACGTCGTCATTCATACTGCCAAAGCTATCCCCCTAAACGAAATCCATTTTTTATTTGACGTGAGAAAACAATGTAGCAAAAAAAACTATAAAAAGAGCCAAAACATGATATTCCACTTACAAAGTGTGTAGTTGGCAAGCTGGTTAGCGTAGACTGCGAAGGAGTTCGTTGAACTGCAGACTTCAGTGGCAACTGTGGTGAGGGCCCAGGTGCAGCATGAACAGGTGGTCGTTGCTGAACGGTGAAAAGAGTATAAAAAAATTGGGTTTTTGTTGAGGATGAGAGATAAAAAAAGGTTCCGGTCATAAATCACATTAAGTACGTTAGTGGTGTACTTGCGATAAATGACCAATTAAACAGACCACCACTGAAAGCGACGTAAAAAAATCAACTGAAAGGCTCTTAGATAAGAAAAATACTAACGATGACAGTCGCATTGTTCACTAAAGGCGATGCACGCCATGTGGTCAAACTCGGGTCTTGTACAGACACTGAATGGCACAAGCCTTTGTCCTGCAGTGACAGCAAGTACTGGACAAGTCCATCGGGCACACCACGAAGTTGCTCTAAAAACGTCAAACGATGGGCTTCAGCAAGAAGGAAAACAGTGGGACAAGAAAAGAATTGAGAGAAAAGGAACGGGGAAACAAAAAAAGGGATGAGAAAGATCCCCTCAATCCCCTCATGACCTATAGAGCCATCCAACTGCGCGCACCTCATCCTGATCGTCTCCGACGATGTGGGGGGATGTATTTTGCAAAAAAAAAATTAAAAAAATTCCCAACGGCAGGACATTCTCTGAATCTAGCGGATGGCTGATGTTTCAGATCTAAGAATGCGACAAATCTAGTATTTGGCCCTTCTCTTTGGAAGCGCTCTCACTTTCCACCACATCACTTTCTATCAGAATAATAAGCAGTAACAGAAATTGCATGGATTTAAGGAGTCTGGCCCTTCACATTTACTTGGTAGCCGCACGCAAAATTTGTCCCTATTCTATAAATGTTGACAGAACACCCTGCAGAGCTTCTACATTGAATCAATTGAGACTTGGTGCGAATGCCGCGCACGTGGTGCCGCTTGCAAAACCTGCTTTGTCGCCTTGTCGCACGGTAAATGTAATGTCCCACACCTGCTGTGGAAGAAAATGCCTCAACCGTCTCTCTGAACTCACCGGCAGTATATCCGTCTTGTGGAAGCAGGAATGGTAGAAGCAGTTGCTCTGATTCGGCTAGCGTGATTGGGTGCCCATCCTAAACTAATATTACACTAGAAAAATCCGGGTGACATTCAAGGATCCCAAAATGTTAGGAGGGCGCTAAGGCTGCGTTCAGACTTTGCGGCAGCGCCTCGGTCGCGCGTTCGGCACGATCGATGCACATGCTTTTGACTGCATCGATGGCGACGAACGCGCGACTGAAGCGCTGCCGTCGCGAAGTCTGAACGCTGCCTAACAAGCCCCTCGCTTTTCTTCAGCACACACAAGAAAATTTGGAACAGATCAAAAATGGCTCTTCTATTAGTTTTGATGGATCTTTGTTTGAAAATAGCAAACCAGCATGTAACTCGCAGACCCTTCCCAGCAAAATTTATCCATGGAAAAGGAACTTTCGCCTAAAGCATAGGTTTTTTCGCTTCTTTACCTGTAATGTAAGATGGTCCGCCTGTCGCTCAGCTAGCCCAACAATCCGTGTAATGACATCATTATCGCATGGAATCTCACCATCTTGGGCATAGAAATGGGTGAGCAGAAACTGTACCTAAAACCGTTCAAAAATAATGAACAAGCCAAAAAAATCCCATAGTTGAAAAAGCCAACAAGAAAATGGACCTGTAAGCTGTTAAGCTTATAGCAGGTGGCTCCAAGTGCTGCAACATCGTTTTTCTGCGCGGCTAAAAGTGCAGCAGCTTGTCGGCTTCGGTCCAGGTGACATTCGGCTGCCAATTCAACACCCATTTGTTCGGCCCATCTGGATAAACGTATTTACAATCTGTTACACTTGGTAGTCCTTATGCTAGATATCAAAACGGCACACCTGGGAGAAGGCCTGTACGAAATAAGTACTGGGGAGGCCCATAATATGGCTACCTTTGACCCGTTCACCCCAAATGTCAAATATGGTACCAATACTTACCCATGCAACGCTGCCAATCGAGCCTGCAGACATTTGCCCAGTCGAGTTGTTAGGCGAACTGGCTGAAAATAATTCAAAATCAGCCTTCGTGACACAGAGAGTCTTTTGACGATCAGCATGGAATGCACAGGGCCCGCTGCGACATGAGTTACCGAGACGCAGCGCGACCGCACGCGTCTCATCCCGATCGTCTCCGAAGGCACTACCAACATTAAAAATAGTTCTAAAAAATCTACTCACCGATGAGGAAACTCCTACCAACGAATTGAAAATCGTTGCGTTAATAGCGTGAAGTACTTGACTACACAACTGTATTGTTAACGCAGCATTCAATCGAGATGCTCGAGCTGCTCGCAAAGTACCGTCCAGCAGCGACAGGATCTCATCTGAAACAACATATAACTAGTTATGACTGCCTTCATTTTGATTTGAAGTGAAATTATTCATCTTAGGAATACTTAGAAAGCTTGGGAGGGGCATTTTGCAGTGCGCTAGTCTCTTCTGCTACTTCGTGGTAAAATTAACGTCATAACTTGTGAAACCAGTGAGCTCTTGCGAACTGTGAACGAAGCTCCCACTATTGCATAGCTCTACAGGAATTTACAGGCCTCCACAGGAGGCCTGGGCAGTGGCTCACTGGGACCGGGAAAATGCCCCCTCCAAGCTGAACTGTACCGCTTGCACAACGACTTTCTACATGTAACTTTCCTCACCTATATTTCGCAGTTGTTCCTATTCCTTTTGTCAGCTGTTATTGTTTGATAACTGCTGTTTAACGCCGCAGTGCGCGATCCGAAAGTTATCACAAGAATGCTGAGTTGTGGGCAAAAGTCGGACCACGGGATTCGAACCCGCATCTTCTGCTTACCGGCCGGTTGCGTTCCGTATTACCATGGTCACGAGTTTGCCACAATCACATCAGCACTCTTGTTATGCCTTTTGTCAGCCTTTTCCTCAAATTTTATTTCTACTTTCGCTTTTACAACTACCGCAGACTTCTATCTAACCGCTCTTTTGCATGTTTGAGGAACTCGCAGCGCGACTTTCGGGCACAAACCAAATAATAAACAAGTAAATAATAGCCCAAAAGGCATAAGTTTAACACGGATCTCGAACTCGTCCAAGAACAAGGAGATGACTAGTCAAGAACTGGGAGATGAACTGTCATCTAGTATGTCAATAAGATAATGTGTCACATAAAACGTTAATGACATCAAGTCTTGTACTGCATACTCAAGTCCCAAGGTACGTCATTAACGTGTTGTATGACGTCAATGACACGTCATTTTGCTATTAACACGTAATTTACAGAACCTGTGCTATATAGACGCCGCTCAAACTCTTCACCTCACTGCACTTTGAATTTATACCCCCGCTGATCGACTCAGCAGTCTCTGGGACCACTCATTAGGAGGCGACAATCAAGTTATACCGTTGGAGAAAGATTCTGCAAATATGACCCTTCCTCCCAATATTGCCTGCAATTTTGCCTCCTTTGGTACAACCCCCTTCCCCATCTTCCCTACCACATCTTGAATTTTCCCAACTTCTAACCACTTTTCCGGAGTTCCTTCTCACGAAAATTCCTTAAGTTTTACCAAGGAAACTGCTGTCGAGCAAGGGAACTAGGAGGGGGACGGCTTCTCCAAAGCAAAACACGACCCTCCCCCCCCTCAAGATGCCCAAGGTACGACGTTCCCTGGCGGCAACATCTTCTGCGACAAAGAACAGGAGGGTTTGACCAATGAGAAAAGTACGATGGTCGGAATAACATCACCTATATGATCAGCGTGGAATGTGCCCTTAAAGGCACATGGCACGATAATTTGGTACTCGGTCTAAAATGCTAGCAGGTGCTATATAGTAGGAAAATGGCGAAAACGAAGTGAAACGGTCAAAAACCTGCGAAGAAAAGCCTTCGTTCTTCATGACTCAGAAAGTAATTTTGGACGAGTTTCCCACAGGCATCTTGCCAATAACCGCTACGTAGATACGTCTGCATGTACCCATATATCCATGGAGCACGGCGACCGCTTCATGTCAATCCCTTCGCTTCATATTTTACTTCGCAAATGAAGCAATACGAGCATCAGGTACGGTCGTCCATTTGTGGGCGGGCGGGCGTGGTGGGCGTCCGGGTCGGTATGTTGCAGCTTGATAGGGCCTTATAAGGGTACCTCCTTGGAAAAGGCGCTACGCAGCGCCTGCTCAGGGGCGCGGAATTCCGTTGCCAGGCGTATTAATCCTACTCGTCTTGAGGATTTATCGTGCCAACTGCCTATAGCTAAAGAAACCCTTCACCATCGCGAACCTTCCTGAAGTTCATAACATTCGCAACTGAATAATTCTTGACTATCAACGCTCAGAGTTTGGGCCTCAGGCTTTTCAACGTAAGGATTGTGCCGAACTGAGATGAAGGGGAGTTGGGATGTGACAAGGCGATAATAATTCGCGGCGTGGGCAAGGTCAGCGATGTCGCTCGCCGCAGGTTAGTTTGCAGCCACATACACCGTCTAGGCCGAGTTTTTCTTTCGAGTAGTACCTCTGCCTCAGTGGGGAAAAGCACAAATTAGAGATGATGGCTTTCTTTTTTGCTGGACGCATTTTACTCTATCCGCCGCGATTATTGTGGCCCGATGCGTCGCGCGCGATGATGCGGCAAGTTACCACTGTCTTGACAGTCTCCCGAAATGCTCAACAATTCCGACAAGCGCTACGCTTTACTTCAGCAAAAAAACTTCGTGAGGGTATGAGATTAACTGACTCAAACAGGCTGCCTCATTTCTCATCACAATGGGCTTGATAGATCGGTAATTTTTGTCGCACACTAAAATTACGCTGCGCACTTACTCACGCCTAGTCGTTTGTTTTCCGCTCTCGTTTCGCTTTTTATATCGAATGATCGTAATCTGACCAGATCCAGCAACGGACAAACTACATCGGAACATGTCTAGCTTTTGGGATATGCAAAAAGTAGGCCATATGACCGAATCACATTCGAATCAATCACCAACTTCTCTCTTCCTAAAGCCGCGCTACTGTTTTTGAACACTGCGACAAATATTTAAATTGTACCACAATTACACTCCTTATCCCAGGGACGGAGTAGGCGTGACATTTGAACATGGCATAGAGTGGGTTACTCCTGGGATATTTCAACCTGAGACAACTGTCATCTTGTTCCGTGTTGGACAGAGACATGATCACAACTGTCCCAAAACCGAAACATCGTCCGAAAAGCCTAGCCGCCACCACGTTCGATCCAAGTACGCAGCCACGCCTACCGCATATCAGGGATTGTAGTGTACCTCTAATAATTTTACCCCTCCCAAGATGAGCAAATCAATGGTCCAGGAAACGCCCAGGAATCAAAGCGTAATCAACTCACTGCTGCCGTCTTCTACTGGAATATTCACATCCAACATCGGCTTGCAGGCCGGTCGAAGCGCTCCAAGAAGAACTGTACATAACCGTCGGAACACTGTTTCGACAACTGTGCCCAGCTGACCTGCTCTGAAATGCGTGCTTATTATTCAGGATGTTTGGACCCCTCCACGGTAGTTCCACACCTAGTTGAGGACATGATCCTGGTCATAAAAGAAGTATGCTAGTTGAGAGACATGGGCAGTCTAATGAGGAGCTCTTACCGAGGTGTCCGTAGATCAGGATCCCTTTCTACTAGAAACGACAACTCGCTCGCATTTGCTAACCAAAATAACAACTCATCTCTCGATGTGCAGTCCTGAAATACACTCAAATTCAGAATAAATATTTCGGAAATACCAGAGAACAATGGACCCCTTTAGAGAAGAGTATTTAAAAATTCATTACAGACTCCACGATGTTCGGATGGGCGGAGAAATGTACCGGGACTAATGAGTATTACGGCTTCCCAGTTAGGGCACATCGCTGTTGGGGAATCCCCCACAAGGGGGGGGTCGTATTCCGTCAGGAGAGGGAGGAGTCGTATTTGGGCCTTGAGAACAAATTTATTTTGAAAGTTTGATTTTCTCGCCTTTACGGACACTTGTAAATGGGGTGACGGGGGGAGGTCTGTTACTTGCTCATTGTTGGGGAGGGGGGGCGTCGTATTTACTTCTCGCCCTTCTTCTAGGAGTGGTGGTTGCACCACGTTTTGTGATCTGTCTCCTGGTTTCATGGCGTATATATACGCCCGACGCGCCTTCCCCCGCTCGAAGATATAGCGCAGCGAAGGCGAAAAGAAAGAAAAAGTGGCAGGAATGTGGGGAAAATTAAAATGGTATAGATGACGGAGGGTCGTCGGCAGTGTTGCCTGTTTCACGATGTGCAATTTACGCCCTCCCCTCCCTCGACGGCAAAGATATCGAATGAAGAGGACAGGGGCCGGAGGGAGGCGGGGGAGGTCGTTAACAACTTCCAAAAAAGGGCGGTCGTTACGGCTTCGAGCTAGAAAGTTCACCGCAACCGGATGATGTGCCCGTTTTCCCGGTTTCGGCATTGCAAAACATAGAAAAGAGGTATGCCGCGCCCAGTGCGCAAGGAAGTGCAGAGTATTGTGAAGAGAACCCGCCCCTACGATTATGCGACGGAGGTTGCTCAAAGAACAACGGCTTGTTGTACATAAGGCCGCGAGGTGTGCTGCAGGACAGAATTTTTGCGAGAACACTTCCCCTCTCCTAGTCCTACAACTTTGGCCCCAGCTTTCCCGATAAAAAATTTATTTTTCGTCTGACCAGATAACCCCCCTATCTCGGGTAATAGTTTGCAAGAGAATCGTTGGTTTCGCTGCGTGGGTTTGATAGGCGCCGCGTGCGATGTCGCGCCGGCAAATGACGATTTCCAGGCCTTAGATGGCGGCAACAGGCAATGTAGAACTAAATATAGCCACATATGACTACAGTTTTGTAGCCCACGTGAAGTCCGGTCTCAATCGGCAGTCTAACACGAATTAGGAAAACGTCGCGCCCATCGCCGCCTGCGGCGGAGCGGAGCATTACGGTTCTCTTGCTCGTCTCCCCTTTCTCACAGCGTTGAAGAAAAACGACTCCTCACCCTATAAGAGACTCCCAGCGATGGATAAAGCATGAAATTAGGGAAAATCAACTATCAAAAAACTCACTCAGGCCGGATAGAACCCCCTACGTCCAGCGACCAAACACGATCCCCCTGAGGATTCCCCAGCGTATTACGTGCCTTATTTGACCCACCTCGCGCTCACCACACTAATGTCGTTCCATACTTCATTGGAAATATGGAATCAAGGGCTATGACATGGATGACTCAATCCATCTTAATCGCTTAATCATCCTACCCTAAGACATTGTATTCTACCCTAAGGCAAAATATAACCCATACTCCTGGCTGCTATGGGTAACCCCTATCCGTTCCCACAAGACGTAGACCTTTCCTTATACAATTCCACACAAGACCAATTCTAGGAAAATCTTTGAATGCTTCTCGGGGACGACCCATCTGTTTGCATACCGCGAGTCATAAACGGGGTAGTAAACCGAACAAACACCATAAGCGACCGACCTGAGATATCTGATTCATATGATGAGCAATCCGGGTAAAGAACTGCACCAGATAGGGCTTCGAGTGTGACTGGAAGAATCGCAGCGCTAAATATAGCGAGTAGGCCGGTGAAAGGCGAAACGAACCGGCATCGATCCAGCCTCTTGACATCACCTGAACAGAACTCAGCTTATCACAGGTTAGGATAGCCGGTAACGGAGAAAGCTGGAAACCACTGACCTCAACTAGGTAGTCCCACACTTTATAGTCCCCAATCTGAAGCGATAACGGCAGATTCGGTCCCATGCCGGACGACGGCATACTGTTGAATGTTTGAGCCGGGCCCATAGGGAGCTAGAGTTCGTACCGACGGCGCAGTGTCGACTTGGTCGGCCGGTTGTCGTGAAGTCGATGATGAGCTCGTGAGACTGGAAGACGATAGATCGATATTACAACACTTGAAGCTATCCTTAAACCCCTTTCCCGGTTGGAATCACTACGAAGATACACACGAAGACCACAAACGTGAAGCTCATGCAACAACTTCAAAGCACAAAAAGCGGTTAGGAAGTCACATACAGAAGGGCTAATGCATGCAAAGCATGGCGCAGTTCGTTTGGGGGGGGGGGGCATTTTGCACTTTCGCTACTTCCCATCGTTATGCCCCGCCAAAGTCTGAAGATCTGT